ACTCAGATGGCGCTTAGAAGTTGGAGAATCAAGGTGGGCGAAAATCTATATAGAGAAAAAAGCTGCCAAAATAGGAGTTTTTCGGAATCCATCGTCATCATCGAACCTTACTCCGGTCGACCCTTAATTTCAAATCATATTCACGTCGTACAAATTGAGAATAATGAGGATTCTGAAAACGGGCTCAGTACCCTTTTTTGATTTCTAAACCTGGTAATTTCTTGCGAAATGGAACCAAAGTCGTAAATAATGACGAGAAGAACATCACTGATCAGTTTTATGCTTGGCTTTGCTTTTGGGTTTTGCTTTAAACGTTTTTGCCGAATGCGAGCGCTACGATATTATGCACCGACCCAATATAGTAGTAGTCTGTCTCTCTAGTCTCTTTAGTAGTAGTCTGTTGCTATCGCAAAATACGGGGCATCCTCCAGGGTAAGGCCTAGGAGAGTGCAGGGGCTTCGGATAAAATGAAAATTGCTCACCATCCTGGAGTCTTCCCTCCCCCGCCAAAGGCGTTGTGGCGATTTTACCAAAAGGACGTTTTACGCGGTTCTAAAGGCGGAGTTACAATGAAAAGGCAGCTCATTAGAATTAAGGTAGAGGTGGTCAGTGGTGCAGGATGAAGAAAAAACCATGAGAAACGGCCCAGAACCCGAGAAATGGGACCCCTTCCTTGCCCGTTGATTTCCGCATTGATGCGACTCTCATCGGTGCTGCCCTCTTCAACGCTCTCTCTGCTGAACGGCTAGAGACCTGCGGCGAGTGGTTAGCCAGTCGGTGGGCGTGCCGCGTCGATAGCGCCGCGGCGATGGCCATTCTAGGGTGCCCAGGGCATTCCTCCGCTGGTCTCGGTTCGCACGTGGGGTACACCTGTCCTTCCACTAAGTACACTTCCCCTTCTTCGATCTTCCACCTTTTCGTGGGATAATTTTTTCAATGCACTCTAACGAAAATCCCCCGTACCTTGCGATAGCGCCAGAGACTTTGCTCTGGTAATACTTTTTCTATACTTCTGTAGCTTAACCACTTTCGAAAGTTCAGAGCCATCAATGGACATCTCTACATACATTGCTAACGGTGAATGGGACTTGATTGGTTCACCGGTGAGACGAGAAGTGTCTTTCTACAAATGTTGTCCTGAGCCTTATCCAACCCTCAAGTAATTAGTTTTGTCGCAGTTTCTAGAATCGTCAAGAAATTTTGAAGAGCTTTTTCAGATTTTATCTGCATTTGAAGCGCAAGTCGTTCTACTATATATTCAACATAATCGTCCCATCAATGCTGATCTCTGGCATGACCCTGCTCGGCTTCTGTTTACCTCCTCACGATTCTTTTCTACCTCCTCACGATATGAGCGAGAAAATCGGTTTTTCGTGAGTTTGAAAACCAACAATTCAACAATCCTTGCTCATACCTTGAGGTTAGATGATCGTGCGATTGCTCCGTGAGAAAAACTTTTGTGACGGTTGATAGGCTTTTTTATTTATCTTTAAAGGAAGACTTCACGAAAGAGCTGAATTACCAAGAAAGAGGTTCCGCTGTCCTCCCATTTATGCCAACTGCATAAATGGGAGACAGGCGGACCTCCTGGGGGTGCTGACCGAAGCGCAATTAGCAGCGAAAGATTCGACCTCGGCAATCTGGTGTGGCTCACTCTTGACTTGAATGGCGTGTTACGCCCACCGACACTTTAATCACTCGCTGCAGGTCTATACGCGGAAGTGATCATATAGCAGGGAGACGTAGTGCTGAAGTGGGCACAACAGAGAGAGCGTTAGCGTTGGGACAGCACCGATGAGAGTCGCATCAATGTGGAAATCAACGAGATAGAAAGGGGGCTCATTTGTTGGATCCTGGGCCGTTTTAATGGTTTTTCTTCACCCCGGCACTATTTTCTGCCTCTACCTGACTCAACGGTCTACCTCCAGTCAAAACTCGGCCTTTAAGATATTTCTCAAACACTTCTTGCTAATCGGTGTGCTTCTTTGACATTTTGTCAGAAATGACTCCTATCAACATTCGCGGACATCGATCCACTCTACGAGACAATGTCATTATTGATTTTTTTATTTCATTTGTTTATTTTATTATTTTATTTTATTTATTTCTTCAGCTTGATTATATATGTATGTGTGCTTGTGTCTGAATGTTTGTGACAAAATGTCTATCAAAAGTAATATTTACCTATGAGTAGCTGGAAGCAAGCCTAAGGAGGGAAGGAAGTTCTATGGAGAAACGCGATAATGGCAAGAACACGGGAGTTCTCATCCCTTCTTAGGCTTACAAGGAAATGTCCCTTTCAGACACGACAATCGTTTCACACAACTGGGTTTTCTGCATGATGTGAGGCTCATGTCGAGGAACACAGAACCATGATCCATTTTCCTGAACGCCTCCAGGAATGTCAAAATTGTGAAGAAATGGTCCAGAGTTCGATCCCCGGTGATGACTAATTTTTGCAATATAGTTTGGCCCCCAGATTGCCGCCAAATGGCGCCATCGTCGAGTATAGATGTCATTGTCGTGTTCTGCGGCAATTTGGAAGCGCCAACATAAATTGCAAAAATTTGTCGTCACGGGGATCGAACTTTGGACCATTTCTTTCCCGCTCTCTTGACATACCCGGGGGCGTTCAGGAAAAATGAACTATGGTTCTGTGCTGTTCACATGAGCCTCTACAACATTCAAGTAACCATTTTGAAAAACGCTCCATGTTCTGAAAGACCTCCCTTGTTAGTCATGCACGTTTACAGTAATGGAATATGCTTTGGTGGTTTGAAGCGCGTTGAGGCTCTAAAACCACAATGCCCCCCTTAGCGGATAAGACCTTTACTGCTTGCCTGTAAATATTATTAAATTGTTTTAGGTTTTTTTTATTCACTTCACACTTCTCTATTCTGTTCAGGTGTATTTTTCTCGTCAGTAACTCTAATTGTCGCCATGTCGACAGCGTTCACAGTTTGCGTGTTGAACCTTCGCTATCGGCAATACGCCAACCATAAATGGCCGCCCATGGTAAGGACGGAACCTCTTCAAACGGAAATGAGGGCATTCCGACAATCATGTTACTCTAATTCCAGGTCCACTTTATATTTGTGGAATTTATACCGTGGATTATGCTGATGGAACGTCCTGGTTATCGATTTTCGTGTGCCAAAGCATTGAATGAACAATCGCTCGAAAATTCATCATCGTGTGTTCAGGTTTGTCAGGAACAACTTGTAACAGGATTCTACGTTTCCCTGCCACAATGAACCAGTTGCCCTTGCAGCTCCCTCCACATATTGTCCTCATGTCATGTAATCGATAGCTATTTTACACGTACACTTCTAGAAGAACGTGCTCATGTACATAAGTAGCTAGCATTTTCGTGTGGCTGCCTATAAGTGCATGGCTTTCGACCATTCCCAGTGATTTGTTTTCCACGGTGAAATTCTTAGCTTGCCACTTAAAGGCAGTGACCACGATCACTCGAGCCGGTGACGTCATTGAATCTCATTGGTGGACTAGATTGCCCATCACGCTGGAGGTGTGGTTGGGACCGCCTCTGAACGTTCTTCTATCAGTGACATCAATGACGTCATCGAAACCGTACCACCCTCCTGTTGCTGTGATCGTTGCCTTCAGAGGCACACTCCACGAACGATTAGATCTGGTACTGCTTAGGAGAATGAAAATTGAGATGAGAAGTGAACTGCCAGTAGTGGAAATGGAGTAACAAACTGCCAAAATTATTGAAAGTGATGGTTTTTTGTCGGTCGACAAGAAGAGGAGACTCTATAGCATGGAGGCAGAAAACAGACGCGCGGACGAGAGAACATAGCGGCCGGTTGAGGCGCAGACAACAAGAGGGGCAACCGGAGCTGCTAGAACTGGTGTGCTTGAGGACGCATTCCTTATTCACAAAAGGGATGGGTAATCGTGAATCGTATCTTTAATGCCCAGCATAACTTGCTATCTCTTGCCTCCATAAAGGCACACTCACGATAAAGAAAGTGATTTTTCCGCACGAAAATGAAAGCAAATATGCGAAGTGGAGCGGCATTGAAGAAGGTGGAAAAGAATGCCGGCTGAACTCACCAGACAAGAGCCTTTCTCTCTTATGTGAGGGAATTGGAACAATATAAGTTGATAGGCACTGGCGTCGCGAAAGGAATAGGCAGACATTGTATCGTTGCATCGCGAGGCAATAGAGGCATCTAAAAGAATTTCAAGGGTTCAGACCTAGCCGCGCACTCTTGAGTGGAAGAAATGGCATATATCCGATCTTCTTGGACGGCTACCCCTTCACATCGGAGGGATTTATCCACATGACCTGGGAGGAGTGAGTGGTGTGGCCCTTTGGAAGGTAATCGTTGTCACCATGCCAGCTACTTGTCGATTATACTGTTATGTAAACATCTCTGGAAGTGACTCACCTTGGTTCATACCTGGCTGTCATTTTCGTTTTTCGCGTGAGTAGCGATATTCACTGAACAACAGAGCGAAAAACAAAGTGAATAATCACCTCATAATGCGATAAACTGCAAAGTTGATAATTCGTTCGGCACATTTTGCCAATTTTATTCCTCAAATGTCTTCGATACTACTTTATTGGAGATAGTATGATAAACCGAATGCCTGAAAAGAGAAACAATGTCCTACAATATAGACAAGAGGGAACCGAACGTGCACTTCGCGGATAGGCACCTCCGCTAACTAGTTATACGAGGTCAACCCTATGTTGCTACAAGTAGCAACGGGGGGTCGTATTTTGATGAGTTTGTAGAGGGGGGTCGTACTTGCTTCGGTTGAAGGAAGTTGCAGAGCGGCGCGGGAGCAAATTTGCCGTTTCAGAGTGCCTATATATAAATCCCTAGAAAAGGGAGTAGTTGAAGTATGGGTGAAGTATAGGGATTGAGGGAACTGTTAGAATTTTGCCGTTTCACGATAATATAATCACCCAGCTCCCGGTACGTTTTTGGGTGAAGTTTTGAAAGAGGTCGTATAAACATTTATAGAAGCGGGTCGTAAAACTTTCTGAAAATAACCGAACATAGCGCCCTGCTACGAGGCTCACAACGTGAACACTTCGTGAAATCTCTCCCACAGGTGGTGGACTCAGTTACTGAAAGTACTAAAGGTACCTTTGCGGGCAAGGTATATAATAGAACGCAGACGTAAGGTATACATATGTATATATCAAAGTTCCGATCGAACTGCAGTCATTTTAGCTTACAGTTCAGTCTGCATAAAGGAGATCCTATATAACGTTTGAGTCTTTCTCACTCCGTTTTTTGCCTTTGCCACATGAACAATTACCATTAATAATTCAAGTCCACGGCGACCATTTAAGGTACTCTGCCTTTATCTATGTAGATTTTTGTGAATTGTAACCACGTCTCATCTCAATAAACAGGTGAAATATTCAGTGTGCTTCCCGCAATTGGGGTGATGGCTCTTGGATCAGTGTGGAGTATCTGACAGCAAAGACGTAGTGCAGACGACGCTAGAACAACTGCCAGGCGAGAAACTCGAATTGACGCGAAAAGTCGGAGAGGTAGTTTCTTTCTTCCTTTTTCTGTCTTTTAGGGACATCACTAGAAGATGCAGTGCCATTGGGATCCTGCCGACACCTTTCCGCTCTTATGATTGAATTCAAGATCTACTGGTTTCTACACGCTTCCTTGCTAAACTTTAGTATAGCATACATTTACTTTCGAGGATCAGAGATCAAAGGAATCTTCCACGGAAAAAGCTCCGCCCTCATTACCACAGAAAACGATACCTTAAAGGAATCTTCCACGGAAAGAGTGATCATTTTGTCTTGTGTGTAGGATTAGTATTATCGAAACTAACGCTTATGTTCCGTTCTTTTTGCTATGCTCATGAGGCTAGGACCTAAAGGGGTATTTCTGTGGTAATGAAGCTTTTTCCGCGGAAGATTCCTTTAAAGCAGGGTCACAAGGCCTGGAAACGAAGTGATCTACTGCTTCCCGAACACATGGAAAGTGTGTTTTGACACCATGTTCTCATTACTCAGTTCAGGGACTGTTTGTCCATCGGAAATGTGAGAGCACGAAGAGACATCGAGTGGAACGCTGCGAGAGATATGTGAACAAATGCATGGAACAGTACTCAAGTGAAGGTACGTAGTGGATCAATTTACTGACGAAGAAACAAAATTTCTCACGACTGCGCAGCGGTAATTGCAGACCAGTTTCGCAGGCGATGATGGTCACCAAAAAGTCGATCTCTTATATGCTTATTGACCCTTTGACGCCAATGGCACCCACCGGTGTGTGCCAGTAGCATTTAAAACATTTGTAAAATTCCCAATAATTATAAGCAAGTTTCATAATATCTATGACTAGCACGGCTTACAGAAATGTTTACTA